AGCGCCGCTACATGTAGCGAAGCTATTAGTTCAACTACATGTTCCAGTAGCTTGACCGTAGCGTCGCTGCTTTATTTATCAAGTAACTTTCCAGTAGTGACGTTATTATTTTTATCAAGTAGCGACGTAGCGTCCACAAACGCTACAAAATCCAGGGCATAACTAAGTAATGAAAGCAGGTTTTCTATTTTTGAGTTATTCTTCGGACATTCACGCATGAGCCTCTATTCTGCCTCTCCTGTCTGTGTCTACGAAACCTGCGCATGCGCACTGCAGTGGAACTCAAAGAATGACACACACAGACACACGCAGACACACAGAGCCACACACACAGGATGGAGGGGGAGACAGGAGCAGAGCACCTTATCTTCAGAGATTTTGAAACTTGTTGAATCCTCGGATAAAAAGTATGTGTTCAAATTTCGGTTCTTGGCCATAGAGAGCTCATGTGGTCAAGACTAGCCATTTGTTTTACATAGCCAAACGCTCATTAAAACAGTCAACTGCAGTCAATTTTTTAAAATAAAAATGAGAAAAATATATCAGCTTTAACTTTATTGGCGCCTTTAATTTCCAGATAGTTCAATCTGATGTGTGCCACTAAGATACTCTAATTAGAGAGCAGTAGCCAAACTTAGATATTGTATTTTCATGGCCTAATTTACCTGACAGGATGTTTACATAAATCTGTTTTAATGCTTATTTGCACAGATAAGATTTTTTAGGTATGGAGGAACAGCTCTCCCATGTATGAAAATAAATACATAAATAAATACATGCTTAATAAATAAATAAGCATTCAATTAATTACCCCCCCAAAATACAATGAATAAATATGTAGGTAGAAATTAAATTATACAGTGAGACATAAATGTATATATATCTCTTAATTCGCTTCTTTATTTTTTCACATTTTTTGTAAATAGTTTCATTTGTTACTTGAATCGACTGTTTAATTGAGGTCTGAAGAAGTTTTCTCTAAGGGAGACCCTAAAGAAATAAGATGCCTTTTGTAGGGTTTTGTTTTCCCTAGAGATGTCCATTGAATGCAAACTCATAGTCATGTCTCGATGTGTAGAACACTACACCTTTAATTTGGTTCTAATAACAGCAGATTGTTTACTAGTTTGTCTACTAGTAATTACTTCAGGTTTTTTTTATTAAGCTAATCATAAAGCAATTTTTACACTATGTTATGTCATTGGCTGATCTTTAATAAATGTTTTAACCAGTGTGTCAAACTCATTTTGAATTGACATTAGCTTGGTACAACGTTAAGTATCTTCTGATGTAGTTAAGGTACTTTTAACACATTAGTATAACTTAGCTTGCTATAATTCTTTAGGAGGTAGCTTTTGTGTAGTGAAGCTTAATTTATTGTTGAGTAACTGATAGCTTAGCTCACTACACTGGACAAGTAGCTTGCCCAACACTGCCAGTCTAGTGCTTTTTCTTTAATTCCAACAAAATATTCAAGCCTTTTTAAAAGAATATTATGATCAACTGTAGAATAATTTTGCTAACTCTGAAACTTGAAACAACTGGATCAAAGCAGTCTCAATCCGGTTCAGATTCTATGGCTATCTCAGATGCTGCCTCACCTTCCAATTAAACCAATCGTAGATACAAGAGTGCTAATGATCTTATTTTTAATAAGGTCAATCTTATTTATAAAGAATCCCATAAAAAAAATTACTGCTAAGATCAGTTGGAATTGATGGTTCAACAGAGCTATGGCTCTGGGTGAGTTTGGAAACTGTATTAAAAATATAGCTAGGGTTATTCTTATTCTCCTCTATTAATGAGGGGAAATATGCTGCTCTTGCTTTACAAAGGGTCCTATTAAGCGGAGTTTGTATGACGTCATCCGTGTGCCAGACTAGAGTTTTGACACGCAGCCCGGGCCACAGCAGGGCTTCCGCGGGTCCTTAAAAAGTCCTAAAAGGCATTGAATTCTTCAAAATAAAACTAAGGCCTTAATTGGTATTAAATTTCTTAAATCAGTCTTTCGTAGGTCTTAATTTTTAAAACATCATAAATAGTTTTTTTTTATTATGATTTATTTTGTAATCTAAATAAAACATTAAAATTGACAATTTTTTTTTTATAAAAAAAAAATAATGGCTCGCCATTATTGGTTCCTTCCCGATAGCGGAACCAATAAAAGCGTTGCTGTGGCTGGGACATTTGGGTGATGCGCCATTAACTTTTTGTCTGGAAAGTATGAGCAAGTGTAAATGTAACAAAATTTGGTTATCCAGCCAAGAGATTTCTCCATGGCTAAAACCAGGGAACATACATGAGGCACAGTGGATTGTGTGCAAAGAGCGCGATTCAAGCTCGGAACGATGGGAATGAAGGCAGTGGAGTCACACATGCGATGTGCAAAACACAAATCGTCAAAATTGTTTGTGAATTCAGTTAAATAATTATTAAAATATATCTGTCATTTGTGTGTTTTTAGCTTTCTTCCTGTATGGGAAGCTTTTCAAAATTTGAAACAGTGCAGTGGTTTATGTTAAAATAAACCTTTGGGTTAAGTTGTCGCAAGAGGGTTTTTATTGTTTCTTGTGAATTTGGTCTTAAATTTTTATTTCAAGTGGCATTAAAAAGTCTTAAAAAGTCTTGAATTTAACTTGCCTTATGCTGTAGGAACCCTGCACAGGCAGCTACACTCTACCCCTTCTATTCATTTGGCTAGCTAATCTGAGTCGTTCAATTCCATTTCGAGAGCAAGATCATTTGTGGTAGTAGCACTAGACATCTTCCAGGCATGTGAGTAAAACTAGCAGCAGTTCACAGGACAGGATGAATGAATGGTAGCCGATGCGCGCTGATGACATCATATACACTCTGCTTTGTTTTAAAAATATATAAATATAAAAAATATAACCGTGGATGTCTGGGAGACAGTGATTCGCCTACATGTTATGAATGCTGGTGTACCATAAAGAATAAATTATGAACGGTTTAGTTTGTGTTTTCAACTTGTTGCCCATAGGAAGACATTACCTGGATATAATAAAACCGAATATCTTCCGAACAGCTCCAAATGACACAAAACTCATATGGGTGAGTAGAACATGATGTAATAACGTAAAATCAAGGGGCCAATGTAAAAAAAAAACCTCTTTAAGGACCAGCACCAAAAACCAGTCTATGATAAGAAAGAAATGCATTATTACCATGAAGTTAGCCTCTGAAGCTAATAACAGTTAGCTTTGGATCATCAGCTTAGATAGCAGCCATCTATGTTTGGGTGAAATTTTGATTTCATAAGTGGGGGGAGGGACACAAATATTCTTTAAAATAACTAACTTCCAGAGCTAAGATCAGGAATGCAGTGTGCATTTTAAATACTGGTCTCCTGCATGGTGGTTTATAAAACTTTGACCTTTTACATTGTTTTAAAAAAGAAAAGTGAACTCGGTGTTGGACAACACTCCATGATCCAGGGAACCATGGATAAATATGTTATGTGATTTCTTAATGCGGCACAGCAGATTCGCAAGACAAGTTATGTCTTGCGAATCTGCTATCAGTTATGTCTGCACACTGCGCAGTACTGTGCTGTAATTAAGCATTTGTTTCCAAATGTATTTTCAGACTTGTTAAAAAAATGCCCACTACTGGTATCGGTATCGGTGCAACACTGCTTAAACCTTCTACCATCTTCACATTTTTTTTCACAGTCTTAAACTATTTTTACACAGAGGCATAATATAATCAAGTGAAGTTAGATACTGTTGTTGGACAACATGTGGTAATTTATAGATGTTTTAAATCAGATTGGGTACAGATTAGATAGCAGATGGGTCTGGATCCGGACCTCAGTCCGCTGATACGTGACCTCTATAGAGGCTCAGGAGAGCATAAGTTATTCTATCATCTTTTAAAAAAATTAAGTACAAGTCTTAAAAGCAGACAGGGTGTCTAAAACTGGTGGTTTGTTTCACAGGAGTGGAGCATTAAAATAAATCTACACGATGTTAAAGGAAGAAATTATTCTAAAATAGTTAACTTTGGAAAAAGGTTGGCTTCTCTCTTCCTTTCCCAGGTCCTCTCGGTGAGCTGCGTGTGGCCACAAGGAAAACCAGCATTGCATGTTGACATCACAGAAATACAGAGTTTAATCCAATATAAGACAATGCATAAACTTAGAAATAAGACAATGCACAAACTTACACCAGAAACTGCAGAACAACGGAGACATACATTCAATTACCTGACATAAATGGAGAGAAGAAAAGAAAGCAAAGACGTACAAAGACATCTTTGGAGAGTTGCAAGAGCAAATCTGATTTGTTACTTCTATGTAGAAAGCTTTATCCTCTTGTATTTAATTTATTCAAATAAGGCTGGCTTTTGCTCCTCCAACCAGGAGCTATCTCTGACACTCAGAAAAACTTAGAGCTTCACGTAATTTACTGCCGGGCCTCCAAGAATTCTAAGGTCATCTGGCTAACATGAGATAAGGTTTCACAGAATCGGTGTGGAATGCGGGGCCTCTTTCCTGCCATAAAATCTCAAGAACAAACTTAAATTCAGTATTTTGGTTCAAGGAAAGGTTATCTTCACAAACTCAATTTTGCTCTTCTGCACCATTTCACCCCAAAAGATTGAATCCTGCCTTAAACCAAAAATAACACATAGAATCAACAGAACATGAGATACAATTCCTTTTTCTCACATATGAAACATAATATTCAATCCTAAGTATACAAGCTAACATATTCCATTACCCCATTAAGCATAGATCCTGAGCAATTTTCTAATACTAAACAAAACATTTTCATTCAAACAATTTCCATTTGATTCTGATATTGTCACAGTACAATTTTCATTTAAAAAACATGCTATTAATACTTAGAAAAATGTCTTAAAAACTAAATGTTAGTGTTTTAACATTCTACATTGTATTCAGTTTCACACCATCCCAGATGTTTTTATTCTGGAAGACTTTTGGTCTTCTGTAAACCAAGCAGACCTCTCCCCTCGAGGCTCAAATGATATTCGCCCCCCAGGAGATACTCATTTTATGGCCTCCTGTGCTTTGAATACTTACCCATCAATAGTTTATTTTTAAATCATTAACACAACCTTGTTCAAAATTAAGAAATATGGTCAAAATGAGAGTGTTCAACATACATTTTACACATGCCATAAGATTAACTGTATTAAAAACTAAAAATAATCATTTTTCTTTAACAACAACAAGCAAACAAAACTGTGAATGTTTGATCATAATTCACTGATTCACTGACTATCTTTTAATTAGCAGCAGATTAGTATATTCATAAGCTCTTATGGATCCTTGGGAAATGTTTAAATCATATTTAAAATTTTTCTCAGTTTTAAAGATATTCCTCCAGTCTGGTTAAAGTCCTTTATGGGCAGAAAGTTGTGACCCTAAAAACTGAATTTACATCGCCCTGACTGAGACTGAAATTATTTAATTTGAAATGGCATTAGTTAGAAAAATGGATTTCACTCAATTGAAGCCTTGTTTATACCTCATCTTTGCACACTCAACAGTTACACTTGAGATAAGTTAGAGTTGCCAATAAGCGGGAGGAAGCCGGTGCACCCAGAGAGAACCCACGCATGCACGGTGAGAATACACAAACACCATGGAGAAAGACCCTGGGCAAGAAATTTAACCCAGAACCTTCTTGTTGCTAGGTGACATTGCTTCAAACTTCTCCACCATGCTGCCCTATCCTTTGTCAATAAGGAAAAAGCTCTTAGTGAGGCCTTTTTCCAATTCAAAGTTGCTCTACCTTTTCTGAAGACTGACTGAGACTGTAATTATTTAATTTGAAATGAGATGCATTATTTAAAAAAATGGATTTAACTCAGTTGAGTCCTTGTTTATACTACATCTATGCACATTCAACAGTTACACTTGAGACAATTTAAAGATGCCAATTAAGCGGGAGGAAGCCGGTGCACCCGGAGAGAACCCGCGCATGCATGGGAAGAATACGCAAACACCTTGGAGAAAGACCCTGGGCCGGGAATCTTGCTGCCAGGTGATATTGCTACAAACTTCTCCACCATGCAGCCCTATCTTTTGTCAATAAGGGAAAAGGAAAAAAAAAATTCTTTGTGAGGCGGTCTCTGCCTCACCATAAGGAATGCGGCCCTTTGAGGGCTCCTAGGTGTCATGTCTGGTAATTGAAGCAGTGTTCGGTCTCTTGTAAGCTGTGTCTGCACAACGTTTGCAGCTAGTGACATGCCTTTTTTCCAGTTAATAGTTGCTACACCTTTTCAGAAGTTCTCGGTGATGTTTCTCTACCAGCCTTTCAATTTCCCTGTCCTTTTCGATCAGTTCAGCTTGCAAGATGAGGAGTGATTTGTTTTCACGCACCACATCTAATGCGTTTCGCTCAGTTAGTCTCATCAGGCGTTCATTGAGCTCCTCTTCCCTGCGAGAAGCTTCTTCTAGTTTGCTTACATAGTGTTTCTTGACATCTTCCTTTTCTTGGTGATGTTTTTCCATCAAATTTGCAATTTCCTTTTCCTTTGTGGCCAGTGCATCTTCAAGGAAGAATTTTTTGCTGTGGTGCTTTGTAAGCTCCACATCACATTTGTTGTGCTCTTTTAGGGTTCTGAGTTGTTCCGCGAGCTCCACTTCCCTGCGAGAAGCTTCTTCTAGTTTGACAACACAGCGTGCCAAGGCCTTCTCTTTTTTTCGCAGTACCTTTAGGAAGGTGTGCTCTAGTGACTCTTTTTCCTGTTGCAGAGCAACAAGCTCACGGTCCCTTTCAACCATGATTGCAGTTTGAGACGCAATCTCTCTGTCTTTTTCTTTTAGCACGCGTTCCAGGGTATGTTGCTTCAACTCGTCATTTGTCTGTCCCATGCTTGTAAGCTTGTCGGCCTGCTCCAACAGTTCTTGCTGATGTTTCTCCATCAAATTAGCAATTTCTTTGTCCTTTTTGGCCAGTGCATCTTCCAGGAGGAGGAGTGCTTCGCTTTGGTGCTTTTCACGCTCCATATTTAATGCGTTACACTCTTGTAGGGTTCTGAGTTGTTCTGCGAGCTCCCCTTCCCTGCGAGAAGTTTCTTCTAGTTTTGCAACACAGCGAGCCAAGGTCTTCTCCTTTTTTCGCACTATCTTTAGATGGCTCTGCTCTAGTGACTCTTTTTCCTGTCGCAAAGCGACAACCTCACGGTCGCTTTTAATCTTGTTTGCAGTTAGAGTCGCAATCTCATTGTCTTTTTCTGTTAGTATGCGTTCCATGGTATGTTGCTTCAACTCGTCATTTGTCTGCCTCATACTTGTGAACTTGTCTGCCTGCTCCCGCAGTTCTTGCTGATGTTTCTCCATTAAATTTGCAATTTCCTTGTCCTTTTTGGCCAGTGCATCTTCCAGGATGAGGAGTGCTTCGCTTTGGTGCTTTTCACGCTCCATATGGAATGTGTTATGCTCTTTTATGGTTCTGAGTTGTTCCACGAGCTCCCCTTCCCTGCGAGAAGCTTCTTCTAGTTTGGCAACACAGCATGCCAAGGTCTTCTCCTTCTTTTGCACTACCTCTAGATGAATCTGCTCTAGTGACTCTTTTTCCTGTCGCAAAGCGACAACCTCACGGTCGCGTTCAAAATTGTTTGCAGTTAGAGTCGCAATCTCATTGTCTTTTTCTGTTAGTATGCGTTCCATGGTATGTTGCTTCAACTCGTCATTTGTCTGCCTCATACTTGTGAACTTGTCTGCCTGCTCCCGCAGTTCTTGCTGATGTTTCTCCATTAAATTTGCAATTTCCTTGTCCTTTTTGGCCAGTGCATCTTCCAGGATGAGGAGTGCTTCGCTTTGGTGCTTTTCACGCTTCATATGGAATGTGTTATGCTCTTTTATGGTTCTGAGTTGTTCCACGAGCTCCCCTTCCCTGCGAGAAGCTTCTTCTAGTTTGGCAACACAGCATGCCAAGGTCTTCTCCTTCTTTTGCACTACCTCTAGATGAATCTGCTCTAGTGACTCTTTTTCCTGTCGCAAAGCGACAACCTCACGGTCGCGTTCAAAATTGTTTGCAGTTAGAGTCGCAATCTCATTGTCTTTTTCTGTTAGTATGCGTTCCATGGTATGTTGCTTCAACTCGTCATTTGTCTGCCTCATACTTGTGAACTTGTCTGCCTGCTCCCGCAGTTCTTGCTGATGTTTCTCCATTAAATTTGCAATTTCCTTGTCCTTTTTGGCCAGTGCATCTTCCAGGATGAGGAGTGCTTCGCTTTGGTGCTTTTCACGCTCCATATGGAATGTGTTATGCTCTTTTATGGTTTTGAGTTGTTCCACGAGCTCCCCTTCCCTGCGAGAAGCTTCTTCTAGTTTGGCAACACAGCATGCCAAGGTCTTCTCCTTCTTTTGCACTACCTCTAGATGAATCTGCTCTAGTGACTCTTTTTCCTGTCGCAGAGCGACAAGCTCACGGTCACGTTCAAAATTGTTTGCAGTTAGAGACGCAATCTCTCTGTCTTTTTCTGTTAGCACACGTTCCGAGGTATGATGCTTCAACTCGTCATTTGTCTGTCTCATACTTGTGAACTTGTCGGCCTGCTCCCGCAGTTCTTGCTGATGTTTCTCCACCAAATTTGCAATTTCTTTGTCCTTTTTGGCCAGGGCATCTTCCAGGATGAGGAGTGCTTCGCTTTGGTGCTTTTGATGCTCCATATCAAATGCGTTACTCTCTCTTAGGATTATGAGTTGTTCTGCAAGCTCCCCTTCCCTACGAGAAGCTTCTTCTAGCTTGGCAGCACAGCTGGCCAAGGCCTTCTCCTTTTTTCGCAATGTCTTTAGGAAGATGTGCTCTAGTGACTGTTTTTCCTGTTGCAAAGCGACAAGCTCACAGTCCCTTTTCAACATGTTTGCAGTTAGGTTTGCAATCTCTCTGTCTTTTTCTGTCAGCATGTGGTGTAATGCATCAACCTTTTGTCCATCTTGCTCTGTCACTGTATTTTCTTTCAGTCCTTTGTCATTGATCTTATATACTGACTCAAAAACCTCCTGTTTCTTGGTTTGTTGCTCAGGGCTTATGGGTTCCCTTTCATATTCATCACTTTCTGAAGATATTTCAAGTGAAACGTCATCAAAATCTGCCTCCTCATCTAATGTGTCCTCTGATTGCTTTTCTTGGTGTGTCTCACTCACTGGTGACAGACTTGGTTCCTCACCGTCTATGTCACATATAGACGGTTCCCTTTCATATTCGTCAATTTCTAATGATATATCAAGTGAAACGTCATTAAAATCTGCCTCCTCATCTGATGTGTCCTCTGATTGCTTTTCTCGGTGTGTCTCACTCACTGGTGACAGGCTTGGTTCCTCATCGCCTATGTCAGACATCTTATATCCTGACTCTTGTTTCTTGGTTTTTTGCTCAGCAGTTATCGGTGTTCTTTTGTATTCATCCGTATCGGAAAGCAAGTCAATTGGTATGTCATTGAAATCTGCCTCCTCATCTGTTGAGTCATCTGACAGCCTGTCTTTACCTGTCTCACTCAGTGGTGACAGACCTGGTTCCTCACCGTCTATGTCACATATAGACGGTTCCCTTTCATATTCGTCCCTTTCTGGAGATATTTCAAGTGAAACGTCATCAAAATCTGCCTCCCCATCTGATCTGTCCTCTGATTGCTTTCCTTGGTGTGTCTCACTCACTGGTGACAGACTTGGTTCCTCATCGCCTATGTCAGACATCTTATATCTGGACTCTTGTTTCTTGGTTTTTTGCTCAGCAGTTATCGGTTTTCTTTTGTATTCATCCATATAGGAAAGCAAGTCAATTGGTATGTCATTGAAATCTGCCTCCTCATCTGTTGAGTCATCTGACAGCCTGCCTTTACCTGTCTCACTCAGTGGTGACAGACTTGGTTCCTCACCGTCTATGTCACATATAGACGGTTCCCTTTCATATTCGTCAATTTCTGAAGATATTTCAAGTGAAACGTCATCAAAATCTGCCTCCTCATCTGATGTGTCCTCTGATTGCTTTCCTTGGTGTGTCTCACTCACTGGTGACAGACTTGGTTCCTCATCGCCTATGTCAGACATCTTATATCTGGACTCTTGTTTCTTGGTTTCTTGCTCAGCAGTTATCGGTTTTCTTTCGTATTCATCCATATAGGAAAGCAAGTCAATTGGTATGTCATTGAAATCTGCCTCCTCATCTGTTGAGTCATCTGACAGCCTGTCTTTACCTGTCTCACTCAGTGGTGACAGACCTGGTTCCTCACCGTCTAAGTCACATATAGACGGTTCCCTTTCATATTCGTCCCTTTCTGGAGATATTTCAAGTGAAACGTCATCAAAATCTGCCTCCCCATCTGATCTGTCCTCTGATTGCTTTCCTTGGTGTGTCTCACTCACTGGTGACAGACTTGGTTCCTCATCGCCTATGTCAGACATCTTATATCTGGACTCTTGTTTCTTGGTTTTTTGCTCAGCAGTTATCGGTTTTCTTTCGTATTCATCCGTATCGGAAAGCAAGTCAATTGAAATGTCATCGAAATCTGCCTCCTCATCTGTTGAGTCATCTGACAGCCTGTCTTTACCTGTCTCACTCACTGGTGACATACCTGCGTCCTCGCTGTCTATGTCACACATCTTATATAGTGACTCTGAAAATTCTTGTTTCTTAGTTTGTTGGTCAGCAGTTATGGGTTCCCTTTCATATTCATCCATTTCTGAAGGTAATGTAAGTGAAACGTCATTTAAATCATCCTCCTCATCTGATGTGTCCGTTTCTGAAGGCCTGTGACTTAAAATGTCATCAAAATTTATTTCCTCATCTCCTGTGTCCTCTGTTTGCCTTTCTTGACATGTCTCACTCACAGGTAAAAGACCTGATTCCTCACAATCCATGTCACACATTTTATCTAGTGACTCTGAAAATTCTTGTTTCTTAGTTTGCTGATCAGCAGTTATTGGTTTCACTTCTTTTTCCACATCAGGGTGCATTGTTTCAGACAAACCCTTTTCAAGATGTTCGTTCAGTCTCCTGTGTTTTTGAATATTTCTCCTAAACTCTTGTCTTACGTGAGAGAAAACCCCATTCTTACCTCGGGAAGACATTTTGAGATTTTCCTTGCACTTTAAAACCAAAAAAGCTCTGAGCAAAAATATACCAACCTCACTGATAAGATGTCTCAGCTGAAATGACTCAGAGATTCTATAGGATAGGATTCTAAGGAAATGGAATGTATGACATCATCAATGCCTTTATGACACTTTGGTTGCCCCGCCCACTAATGATGTCATCAGGCTTTGACGGCCTGATGACATCATTAGTGGGCGGGGCCTGTTGAAGTTTTTTTTTTTTTATCTATCATTCTCGATATTCTGGATATTTAAAGGATTTTCTTTAACATTATCAGATAGGGATATACAGTGGAACAAGCAGTTACTTCCTAAACCAGAGGGTGGCGACTATCGACAGATTTAGCGTTGGACTCAAAAAGCCTGGAGGTGTTATCTTAAAATACAATACAAAAACACAACAAAAGGAATGTTGTTGTTTTGTTTTTTTTCCCACTTGATCAGTGTACTGTATATCTATATATATTTTTTAAGAATGAGAAGATTGATTTGGCTCTAAAATGCTTTTTTATTCTCAGAATGTTATGGTTAATTTCTAGAAACCACAATCATCCACTTGATGGTGCTAGCTGTTATCTTATGCTTATGCATTCCCACTTATTGTTGTTCACGTTTTATTTTTCTGACTCTAACTAGTCCCGCAGTTCTCAACCGATTTCAACAATTTTGGTATCAAAACGTTCAGCTTGTTCAGGAGAATTATGCTATGTCTTTTGGTAAAGATATTTTTTGTAGTTTTCGCGATATTCAGCTTTTTCTGCGTTTTTTTTTTTTTGTCCCATTGAAATGCATGTAGAATTCTTAGATTTCAGCAAAAATCAGCTAAAACTTCATCATCTTTGACCTTTAACTACTTCAGCATACTTTCAGCTAGAAACACCATTCAACTTTTAAAATGTTTCCGTATCTTTCTGCTATTACTGTTTAACTCAGCTTTTTGCTAACTTTTACAGTTTTGCTTCAGTGAAGCTTCAAACTTTAAAAGAAAATTTAAAGAGTTTCAGATTTATAATGGAAGTCTATAGACGGAATTCTTCAACTGTCAGCGTGTGTGCTCTAGCTTTTAGGCTGTTCTGGTTTTTCCGAACAAAGTCTTCTCACTCCCTCATTTTTCACTCAATTGAAATAAATTATACATCAAAACGTAGGTATTTTTGTCAGGATTCAGGAAATGTTACCCTCATTTGTGTGGCATTTACAGTTTTCCGACAGTGTGGCCCAGACCGTGAAGAAGTCCACACTTCCCCAATAGAAATCCAATGAGAGACTTGCCAAAAATCACATCCGAAAATCCAAAACGATACATATTTTCGTATCGCTCCCATTTCTTAACTGTTTGATGTACAAACATGAAACTTGGTATACGCCATCTCCAGGCGCTTCTAGCACTCACATTGAAGGAATTCTTTCAATATCATTTATGGTTTAGCTGTTTAGCTGACCTGTTTGGGCATAGGAAAACGTTGATTCTGAGAAAAATCCTCATACTCAGAAAAAGCAAATTTTTACATGGCCAAATAGTTTTTAGTAGAAACATGAAAGTTGGCACAGTCGAAGCCGAAGGATGGCTGACGCCAACAGTGAAAGAATTTTTTTTATACCTTTTATGGTTTTGGCTCAGCGCTCATTTGTTTGGAGGGGACGTTTTGCTTTTGAGAGCTATGAGCTACAACCATGAAAGTTACCCCAATCGGAGACAAAGGATAGCTGTCGCTTAGACTGAAAGAAGTTTTTAGATACCATTTACGGTTTGTCTTCAGCACTCGTTTGTTCTGAGCTGATTTACCCATTCAAAAAAGCCTAAGAGGAAAGGAACAATACTGCTGCGCTTTTCTCTCTGTCACTGACAGGCTCCTTAAGCGTTGTCAAGGTAACCAAGCTTCAAAGGGATTTTACCTCTGACACTTTAAACAGCACATTTTAATCTAATGGAGGGAGACAACACTGATTTAACATTTGGAAATGGATACAATATGACTACTGGCCATGACCCTTCCCTACACGCAACCCTGATAGACTTTCAAAATAAGACTCCGGGGACCCTACAAAATAAAAGCCTTTTCATTATACTTATATGTTTTTTGCAACATTATGACCCAAACTCAACCACTTATAAAAAAATAGACTCTAGGGAGCTTTTCATAACGCACCCAATGGCAAATTTCAAAATAAAAGCCCCCCAGTGCCACTTCATATATTGACCTAATACAGGTAAAAAGAGCGATTTACAATTGGAAATTCATCAAGTATCACTGCTTGGTGTGACCCTTTCCTCAACACACAACCCTGCCAGACTTTCAAACTAAGACTCCTGGGACCTTACAAAATAAAAGCCTCTATATTATACTTGTGTATTAATTGATGCAAATGACTCAACATTATGACCCAAAGTCCACCAGCTTGTTTCTATTCGACTCTAGGGACCTTTTCAAAACATACCCCGCAGCGAATTTCACAATAAAAGTCTCCAATTTACGCTCTAATGCAGAATCTATTCACCCAATAACATGGTAAACCAGTGATTTCGTTCTATATCACTCCTGGGCATGACCCTTCCCTTGACACACATCCATGGTAGACTTCCAAAATAAGACTACACGGACTCTACAAAATAAAAGACTCTTTTATATGCACACTCTTTCTTTGTGCCATATGGGTCATAAGTATAACCCGAACTCAACCAATTTCTTGAGATTACACTACCAAGGTCTGTTGACATCACACCTGAGTGCACATTTCTTAATGAAGCTCTAACATTTCTACTCTAATAATGCATCAACTAACATCATAAGCAGATGCTTTGCTTCTGTCAACTTCCAGGTAAACAGATACTTTTAGACTTTTTCTTCTGGTTAATCAACTTTAACTAAATGTTTTTCTTTTAAGATGAGGGTGTTTCTGCCATTATTCTGCCAAATGATTCTACCCTACAAAATCTTCAGATGATTCCACTTTTTTCTGTTGTTTGAAGTTTCTGGTTACTTCCTATCACATTTTCATATGTTCCTCAGCTAATTTGTGCTTCTTTTCCTTCTTTCAGTTTCTTTAGCTAATTTTTCTCTTTTCATTCAGCAAAAAAAGCATTCCCACTTTGCTGTTTCTCCGAAACAGCTTTTTCTAGTTTTAGTTTAATGTCCAAAGTGAGAGACATAACCTAAAAAAAATCCAGAAATCGCAATATATGATTTTATAACTATTTATTCGTAGGATACAGCTGCAAGTAAGTATTTTAACAGCTGTCTATCAGGGGTCTATGTCTCTAACCTGTCTGTGTCTTTGAAAGGGGGGTCGTTAAAGCGACATTGACAGATTTTGGGTATTACAGTCTAGCAAAGAAACCAAACGACCCCCATTCCAAAGGGGTGGACCTGCTCGTCCGGTTCTATTTGTATGTTTTCTAAGCTAATACAAGGCTTTGTTGTAGTCCACCCTATAAAACCTCGAACTCAACACTATTTCTGACATTTTGAATTGAAAACGCTTCCTGGATGGGAAGAGAAGCGTCTTCAAATTTGGAAACAAAGTCCAGTGGATTGTTTTTTTTTTTTTACTTTTTTTTGAATGACTGTGACCTGGATGACTGTGAATCTTCACCAGCATCTGCAGCCTTTAGTTTGCCCAAAACTGATATCATAGCTTATGGCACCAAATAATCAAACATCAATGATGCATTCCTTCGTGAGAAAGGTTGTTAGAACATCAATGTTATATTGTTTCTGAACAGCTAATGATTAAGAACCTGGAACCAACTCAAACTAATGAAACATGAACATTCATAAACATGAACTTAGTCATTGATATACCAGGTCATTAACTGAACAAAGACCGAAACACATGATGCACCACTTAATAACTCAAATGTAGCCCTCTTGACAGTGGTGTCTAATGAGGATGTAGAAATGGATGATAATTCGAAAGGTTGGTGTTTTCTGCCCCCTATTGGTACATGTTGGGAAGCTTCTTGTGCAGCTTTGCCTTGGCCAAGTCAGCAGAAAGTCTTCTGGCCATATGATCTGTGGTCCTTTTCATGATGCGGGCAACCTCAATAGCCTGGTCAAGAGTCCTGTTTATGTCCTCCTCCTGAAAAAAATAGAATCTCTTAGGTAAGGTTCATAATATATATATATATATATATATATATATATATATATATATATATATATATATATATATATATATATATATATATATATATATATATATATATATATATATATATATATATCTGTTATGCTGACATTGAGCAGCAAAGACTGAGCTTCTGGCCTTTTTGGCTCTGCGTCTGTAGGAATCCCTGACAGGAGCAGAGGATGCAGAGAGTGTCTGCTGAAAATACACGTTGCTGGGCAAGAGTGCAGTGTCCGACTGGGTGGAGTGTTTTCTGTGAAAGGATGTGGACTGCAGGTGAAGCTCTCTGACTTTATAGCTGCATTATAAGATAGAGATGAGAGATTATTATGGTTATTAAAATTTCTTTCATATGAAATTTAAAAAACATTTCAGACCCACATTTCTAAAAAGAAAAAAATATTGGCAGTTATGGGTATGAAGATGTGAGTAGAAAATTTTTTATTTGATTTAGCCCTCAACTAAATTAATGATTCTCCAAACCTTTATTTTCTCAGTTTTAAATATCATCTTGCTAGATTTTGAAATAGGGATGATTAAATGCAGTCTAGATTCCTTTTAACCAACAACTTACACGTCAAATAAAAATTTTGCAGAATGGATATCTCAAACCAGATGAAAACGTCAGTTTCTTTTACCTGTTCTGTTGGATCGCCATATGTTCTTACTTTCAGATTTTTAAATAAGCGACGGAAACCCTGTTTGGGTCTGAGTCCCAGGTTTATTCCCTTCTTTAATTCAAACCCTTTTAAGATGCCACCCTGGGTGGTCACCCTATTGTCCCCTTTTAAAAACAGCTACTGTCTGTTAAACGTGTGATTTACTCAAAGTTAAAACATAAAGAAAATGGATTGTCAGTTCTTTCACATAAACAAGACTCAGTTTAACGATTTTTGTGTTTGTTTACATTTGGGTTCTCTCAATAAAATAAAACTTTTTTAAATCAAAATTTGATCAGAAGAAAACGAAAGATAAGCTGTAAAAAATATATAAAACTTTGTGTAGAATATAAACAATTTAGTAAGCTTTAACCATTAACTTTTTCTCATAGTAGTTAGTTAGTGTGGGGAATTCAGGCCTTTAAAATCAAATTTAGGCTTATTAAAATGTATTACAATAAAATTTCCTGTTTAATGCTGTTCCTACAGCTGGTTATAGTGACTGTTTCTGGTACGAGTTTGAATGTTTAGGCGCAATGTTTACCTGGCTGGCAGGCTGCAGGAGGAGCCATAGTTAACCTGGAGGAGGGGTTTCTGGAGAGAGGGATACAACCTCTCCTTGAAATTAAAATCTTTAATGGCTGACAAGAAAAGAAATAGAAGGGTGTATCATAGGTTACTAATAAATGAGAGAAGTGTACATGTACATAATGATATAACAATCCTTCATTAACATGTTTTGATCCTGTTAATAAACTTCTTATGTTTTTTTTTTTATATGTTTGTTTAGTCTTTTTTTTTTATAACTTATAAATTACATAGAACAGACGGAAATTATTTAACCAAATTATTGATATAAAATCTAAACATGCTCACCTTGTGGCCTTTGATTCAAATGTTGCTCATTGAAGGTTCCCACAGTAGCTGCATCACAAGAGCATCATTGTAAGTTTAATCTTTTGGACAAAATAATGAAGCAAAAAGTAAGAAAAAGAAAGTGTCTCTGCAGTAAAATTGGCCTTGACTTCTGTTTGATAGTTTTGTGTACTGAAGTTTATCTTGAAGCTCATGCGTTACAAATACACTATTTAGGGGTGAATCTGGGAATTGCGTAATGATCTTAGAAGAGCTTCCTCTGACCCCGTCTGTGCTTATAAACAGTCATTATAAACATTAATATCCATCCATTTGCCGTCATGCTTATCCAAAGAGGGGTTGCGAGGGGTGCTGGTTCCTATCTCCAGCTGTCTAAGGGCTAGAGACGGGGTCCGTCCTGGAAAGGTCACCAGTTCATCGCAGGGCAACATAGAGACAAACAGGACAAACAACTATTCACGCACACACTCACACCTAAGGAGAATTTAGAGAAGCCAATTAAACAAACAGTCATGTTTTTGGACTTTGGGAGGAAGCCGGATTACCCGGAGAGAACCCACGCATGCTCAGGGAGAACATGCAAACTTCATGCAGAAAGACCCCGGGCTGGAAATCGAACCCGGAAGGCAGTAATGCTACCCACTTGTTTTTAAAGTAATCTTTCAGAAAAAAAAAAAAAGAAATGTAGGATGCTGTTAGACTACTTACCTCTGGTTTTTCTTAATTCCTTGTCTGAGGAAATCGAGTCTTTCATCCTAAATAGACTGGATGTGAGGTCGCTCCTGCTTCTGCTGCATGACTTCCTTAAACTATGAGTAAGAGATTCAATCAGAGAAACAAACAGACCCTCTGTACAGGAGCTGCAGTAGACGTAATCATGTGAAGATTTAGGACTCACCTTTTTGAAGCTGATGTTTGGTCAGTTTGGATTTTAGACCTGTGCTCTAAATCCTCTTGTCTGTACTTTGAAATAAGACAGTCCATCCTCTGTGTGAGGTGGGGGAGCTGGACTAACCCCTGCTCTAGGTCCCTCTTTAACTTCGATACCTCTGTCTGCAAGGCTAGGATGGCCTCGCTGGAAACACACAGGAACAGAACAATTACATCTCTCTTTATGTCAGTGAATAGGATCAGCTCCATGCAAACTGACCTGTTACAAGAACAGGAGTTCAGTGGGCTGTGATTGTCCATAGCACCCATGGAGCTGCTGAGGGTTGGCTCTGATATGTAGTCCCAGGGAAGTGCAGGATGTGTTTGGTCAGCTTCTGGGGGAAGAGCAATGGAGAAATAAATTATGCAATACTGATAGGGAAAGATGATGTAAAAAATGAGAAGGGCTTTACTCACCCTGCAGCCTGACTGATGGCTCCTTGGTGGTGCACTCCACCCACAGCTCCACTGCAGCTGCTGCTTCACAGTACTTTGTTTGGATAGATGGGTGGGCAGCCTCACCGACCGCATGGATAGCTGTCTCCAGATTGGAGGAGGAAGCCTCACTGTCTGAGTTACTTAGAGCTTCACAGTTGAAGCGAACGCTACAGATAAAAAGACAGTTTTGGAAAGTAAGTGTTCCTTGTCATGTGTGGAGAAAGGCTGCAGAACCATAAAAATCCTGAAATGGTTTTCTTGACCTTCCTGTGAGAGCATTTGATTGAAAAGCTTCAGTGGCCGACTGGTGCAGACAGGAGCTTCCAAACCCACTATCTGTCTCTGGACACACAATCCTCTGTAACTCAAAAAACAAAACAATTCATGCACCATATACCTCATTCAGAAGTTTCTAACACTCATATCAGAATGAGTGGAATATTAAATTTGAGTTTGCACGATAAATTAGAATTTCCTTTTATTCAAGGTTGAGATTGGACTATTTTTATCATAGAGTTTCAAGTACTTTGATGTCATTGAACCTGTGATGGAATAATAACCTGCCCATGCATTCAACTTAACCTTAAATTGAATTACTCTGTACTGATCTGTAACGTTCTGCTCTCTCTGCTTTTTCTCATTGTAGCTTTGCCTCGTCTGTTCCTGTTTGGCTGTGACACCATCCTGGAGAGAAATATCAGCTGTGCTGCTTCCATCAACACCCTTGTTTATAGATGCTGGAGATCGGCCTGTTTTCCAGTGTAGTCCTGTTTCTCTGACTGTGACTGGCTGGATGTGCTCTCTTCATTCTCTGACATGGGAGCTGGCTCGGAGCTCGTCTGCCCGGCTGTGTGTTTCCTGGACGGGGCCACCTTTTACAGATGCTTTTTGTATCTCTGCTTCTGTCTCCTTGAACCCCAGTCGGCCTCAGCAGATGGCCGCTCAAACTGAGCCTTGAGGTTTCTTTCTGTTAAAAGGGAGTTTTTCCTCTCCACTGTTGCAACAAGCATGCTTAGTGTGAAGGATTGCATTTGAGTCAATGAGTCGATGCAATCAACTGGTTTTCCTTAAATAGAAAACTTTGAATCAATTTGACTGTATGATCTGGTTGAACTGTAAAGTGCCTTACGATTACTTGTGTTGGGAATTGGCGCTATATAAATAAACTGAATTGAATTGAATTGAAAGTACACAGTTAAAGTTTGGCCACAACAGTGTTCAAAGAGGTGTTGGTCGAAACACATAAAAAATAGTTTTAGGATGGATAAAGCTGACTTATTTGTCTTCTAGAATTACCTCAACCATAAGCTAAGCCTGTAGCAGCCAAATATAAATAACAGCAGAATGAGGCTACAAACTTGTTGATGGTTGCAAAACACTTAGGGGTTCTCTGCAGTAAATATTTACCAAGATAAGGTTTAGAGAAAATCCACAAAACACAATCATGCCTATTTTTGACTTAAAAACCTTTAAGTTGTTTCTTTATAACTAGTTTCTGAATAAAAACAGTTCAATTAATCTTCCAAATATCTAAATCAATAAGTCATTAATGCCAGTGATGAGTATAATTAATGTTCTGACCAGCCCTGTTCATGAAAATCGGATAAAATCAGAAGAAAGGCTCAATATGTATGTAGAACCGACCTGTGATAAACATGAGGTGTTAGCTACAGGCTCTGGGGTGCTGTGGTTGTCTCTGGGAGGATGAGAACAGGAGACCTCCACCGCCAGACTCACACCATCACCCAGCTCACATTCGCTGCTGGTATTCAGGACAACGCTGAAGCAACAAGTTACACATTTAAAAACAAACAGTTGGGAGAGAGCAGAGTGTTTATTACTGACTCATTAATACATGTGAATCGCAGCAGATTAGATGCAGAAATCGAAGCCATCCTAATAAACACTAAGATGCGCTGCCTTATACAGGAATAGACTAACTGGCCACATTTAGCAGTGAGGGTACAGTACCTGTCAGTAGTCCACTGCCTCCAGTTTGATGGCGACCTGGTTCCACTGAGGGAAGCTAAAAACTCCCTGTGGTCTGTCCCGTCTGACAAACCTGAGGATGTCTCCTGCTCATCTTCTGCTGTCTGAGAGAGCAGTCCCTTCTCTGAGCCTGTCAGCTCGCTAAAGCAGGACAGAGAAGACAACCTGGTCACACACAGACCCAAACTATCTGTTCTCCCCCCGCAGAGGAACCCGAAACCAACACTGCACCTGAAACCCGATCTGCAGGAGGGAACGTGCCTTTTATTACAGCACAAAGACACCTTAAAACACAACTCAGGGCATCAAAATCATTATCTTTTTACTCTTTCTTTTTTAGATTTAGATTTATTTATTAATTTGACAGGCAAGCATTCCTGCAAATGTACCAGAATTAGCCGAAAGGCTATTTTTCATCCGTTGTCCCTGAACAGATCTTAAAATTGTCTACCTAAAACACAACAGTAAGAATTTTATAATAAAAATAAAAACAGCTATAACTCTTACAAAATTATTTAAAAATAATAAATGAATGTTTGCTAAACTACAGCTTTTAGGTTAATAAAATAGAATAAAATATTCAAACATTCTATACATAATGTTTGGGTTTAAACCCAGAACATTTACTTGATCACAAAAAAAAAAATGCTGAAATAACTTGGTAAGTCATGTTTAAGTTTAAAATATACATTCCTATTATAAGCAGAGGAAAAGATGAGTTGTTCATACTGTGAATTGTCCAACGTTTCGTCCACAATTTCCTTTTTAAGTTCCATTGTTCCCAGTTCTTGGACTTCACTGAGGTCATCGACTTCTCCTTCATCTTCCCCTTTATGTGCCTCCTCTTTAAAACTAGTCAAAAAACTTTTTCCCTGCAATATGAAATCGAGTTACATACTTTATTTCAAAAACTAATCAAAACATCCCTGTCTTACTGAAATTGACCAGAAAGTGGCAGGATTTCTGGTTCTAGATCCTTTAATTCCAGCTGGCGCATTCAATAACTATAGAAAGATCTTCTACAGGAGAACAGCTTTACAACAAAAACTCTTGCTGTAATGTATTTATGCCAAAATAAATATTTATTTGAGTAAATTTTTGAAAATAATGTATTTTTTGAAGGAAAAATGTACTTTTAGAAGAAATATATATTTACTATACTGTACATATATATTAAAGAATCACTACTTTTACTTGAGTAAAAATTCAGTCTACTCTTGTAACTTCACCTTATGAAAATAAAATTGTTGATACACACCTTCTGCTTTTTGCTCAAAGCTTAATTTTTTTTTGTTATAAGTTACAGTGTAATGTAAGAAAATCATGTTTTTACAGCATACTGTCACCCTATGTCACATACTGTAAATGTTGATTTTGTTATACTTATAACTCAAATAACATATTTTGAAGGGTTCCTTCTATAAAATGTTATTGTGTAATTATTATAATTATTTGCTTATCTAATTTTAAGAAATATTTGAATTTGCATATACTTAATTTAGAATATTTAACTTAAAAATGTTCTGTAACTTTATATATTTTTTTTAAATATTAAATTAATTGTTTTCCTCATGTAGTTTAGTTCATGAGTGATTACATTGCCTTTTTACCAAATAGTCTTTAACTCTCTTGAGTCATATTTCTTTAACTTGAGTAAAAATATGATCAGGTAGCGTTACTCTTACTTAAGTAATGTGTTTTAAGGTACTCTACCCAACTCTGCATGTAATGATTGACATCGTTCTCAGCTTAAACAACATATCTTCGATTTTACAATTTTCAGAGCAAAATATAAATTTGGCAAAGCAGAAAAGCAACTTTTTTGTGATGTGTTTTCTGCAGGTGTTTAAGTGGAAGCAAATTAATTAGAAAACTATTAGAACCAAGAAAAAGACCTATAAATGTGACGTCAAAATGGTAGCCTTGTTCCACCACTTTAATATGGTGCAAATGGAGCAGGTACTATTCTGTACTGGGAAACCTCTTATAGAATTCGCCTGACAATGATTTTTAAATAGCTGTGAGTTATAGTCAGTGGTACGGGGGGCTTATTTTAGGCACTGTGTGTCTTGCATACAGAAGAATGTGCAGCAGCTGTATTGATCTGAATAAATTCAGTTTAAAATCATTTATTAAAATCAGCGTTATCATGCATGCAGCAGCCGGTGTTCTGATTGCAAAAAAACAATTAATAAATCAAGCATTTTAAAGAGCAATGTGTGAGTGATTTTTTTTTTTACCTCATAAAGGGAAGGTGCAGGTGGAGGGGACCTTTTGTGAAAGCAAAGCGAATCGATCTTTGGGGGGGGTGAGGCTCTGATGGATGTGGGAGTGGAGGACGAGTGGGGTGGAGAAATCTGTTTATACGTGTTTCTGTCAATGACTTCTTTAATATCCTCAAGGTGCATCCCTATCCTGAATATGTCTCCCTCCACTAGTCTGCACACAAAACAACAAATGCATAGAAAATGTTCAGAACACGCAGGCATTAATCTGACCGATATCCATCAGCTGCAACGATAAGATCTACTAAACCTGTCGGGGTCAAAGGTGCCGGTGTTTCTAGACAGACCCATATAGTTCTGCATCTCCAGAGCTCTGTGCTCGTCCTTCTTACTGATGTATTTCCTCTCAAGCTCATCCTGAGCCTCCATCATGCTCCTCAGCATCTGATAATGGACAGCTTTTGATTATTTGAAAATATGAAAACATACCAAAATAAAAAAATGCTTCCAAGTATTCAAACAGTCCGTACCATTTGTTGCTCAGCTGTGCTTACAGCCATGTTGGTAACATTACATTTAAATTCTTCAACCTGAAAATAAGAGCCTTGTTAAATGTTTTTTTTTTTTTTTTACTTTGGTGCTGTTGAAAATAAGCATGCATCACATTTAAACTTCCCGTACCTTCTGCATGAACTGGACAATTATATCTTTCAGCTCAGCGGTCATCCTCTCACCATCACTAAGAACATCCTCAGTTGGGTTTGATAAAACTCTGTTTGCTTCCATGGCTACTGGGGGCTGCATTGATTCAAGCCTTTTCTCAACAAGATTTTCTGCAAAAAACACCAACACTGAATTGATACACGCCCATAAAACGTAATAAATAGCATCTGCAGTGTCTTGCAAAAACATTTAACATTGCATAATATTCCAAACAAAAATCTCTATGTGTTTTATTTTGGTTTTGTGTGACAGAAATGCGGAGCATAGAGCTATGATACATCATTTGGAAAAGGTTTCACATATAAAATTCTTAATCTAAGAGTTTGGTGTGTATTTATATTCGGTCCCATTTCCCCTTTTATAGCCTTAATAAAATCCACCTTTACTGAATACATTCAGAAGTCACCCAATCATTATAAATCCAGCTGTATAGGGAAGGTTTGCTACAGAACTTTATAAACATGGTAAAGAGCAGCGCTTACAGCTGACAAGTCAGCAATGCAGCTTTGGAGAAGTTGAAAACCCGCCTGGGTTATAATTAGGCATGTAAAATATCCAGCTTTATCACAATATGAGGTTATCTTAGGGTTTGGATGCCGATAAAGTGTTTGCAGATTATTACATTCTTCCTAATAGGATTTCCATTCACTTCCATTTAATCAAGTTTGTAGGGAGCCCCTAAAGCAGTGGTTCTCAAACTTTTTCTGTCATTCCCCACTTTGGACAAGGGGGAATTTTCAAGCCCCGCCTGTCCCCATCGCCCCAACACAATGCTAATGAAATATTCAACAATCTTAAAATGTTCCAATTTTATTGAAGTAACAAGTAGTATCTAAATACAAACTATCTACATCAAATAACAGCAAGCTCAAAAATAAAGAAAATAAAAATGCAGCTGTGTCAAAATTTGTATCAAGCTCAAAGATAGAAAAAATTAAAGTGGCACTCTGCAATCTGTTAATAAAAGAAAAGAAGTGAAATCCATCTGGCAAGACAGGTCTATTTATCCCTGCATTAGTGGCTGCAATGAGCCTGTTTTGCATTGCAGTTTCTCAAAACGGGGTTGCAGGCTTGATACTGCCACTGTCAAGTCATGCTCAATGTTCAGCTGAGATCTGTATTTTGTTTTCATTGAAGCAACAGCTGAAAAGCCCATCTCACAGAGATATGATGTGGCAAAGGGAAGAAGAATGCACACAGCTCTCTGCCCGATGAGTGGATACTCGCTCTCCACTCCTAACCAGAAACATGAACATGTGGCTGTGTGAATCAAACTCCGTTATTTATTTAAAATAAAATATTTCAAATTCAGTTATTTATGATCAACCTGCGCCGTCAATCCCGGCGCATGTGCGCTTTATTTGCAGTCTGGACGCTAAAGTTAAACATGCTGTGTCTCTGCTCTGACTGCAGCGCTGAGAGGGACTCCTGCAATAGCGGGGGAGAACGGGGTTGGGACGGAGGAGGCGCCCCACGGCAGCACCTGCCGCTGGAGGACAAGAAAAGGAACGATACGTGCTTTCACGTAAGAGTCTCCAAAAGGCGCTAGATTTGTTTTTTTGAAAAAGAGTCGCTGGAGGGGTCTGAAATATAGCGACAAAGTCGCTGAGTTGGCAACACTGGGGCGCGAAAGTTTATTCTGTTACAAATAATATGCCGACGTCACGTCAATCATTATTTTGGCACTTCAGTTCCAGGTGAAATTTTTCTCATATCTAATGTTCTTTTAATTAGACTGCATGTAGGCTAGTAATGATTACTTTGTGGGTTTGATTGGTCTAAAAAGCGGCAACATACAGCTATAAGGACAGTTTGCTCTCACACGTTCTACATTTATAGTCACACAACACACACACACACACACCGGAACTTGGCGCGCCCCACCTGTCACGTCTCAATTCCCCACCAGTGGGTCGCGCCACACACTTTGAGAACCGCGGCCCTAAAGGGACATGGAGGAAAAAATTAACTTTTGCGAGATCCCAAAATACTTTTGCGAGATCTCGCAAAAACTAAGCTTTTGCGAGATCCCGCAATACTTTTGCAAGATCTCGCAAAACGTTTTGCCATGTCAGTGAACTGGAAGTAAAACAGACACACAACAGTGGAGGTGCAAAGTGTACTGCTATGGGAGGATAATACGCCCATGTGTCAGCTACAACCATGGAGGATGATTTGGAGAGGTTCTTCATTTCTAGAGAAGTCCCAAAACACAACATTACATGAATGAAGAGAGACAAGGTCAGTATGCAATCCTGGAGGGAAAAAATAAACTTTTGCGAGATCCTGCAAAACTATTGCAGGATCTCGCAAAAGTTCTTTTTTTTCCCTCCATGTCCCTTTAAGGACTCCGTAAGTTTGTTATCAATTGGATGATTTAGTTCTAAGCTCTTACAGGCATCAGGTTTATTTAAATAAAAATAACATTGTGTTAATTATAAAGATAATAACAATCAATCACCGATCAGCTATAGCCTTGTGGCTTGTGCATTTTAAAATAAAGTCAAATTAAAATGATAATGAGGATCAATATTCCTCTATTTGGCATCAGAAGCACCAGGTTTTTTTGCTGTAAATAGAATAGAATAGAAAGTTCCTTATTGTCAAACAATAGGGAATTTCTGGAAATCTTAATCTAGAATTAAGTTTTGTTTTATATCTTGATATGTTTATTGGAAGACAGAAAATGTGTTAAATCTGTAATTTTAATCCCTGTAGGCCCAGAGCATTAGTATGAGGTCCAGACCTGACAGACTTAAGGCTGTCATACCTGACCAGGTAGGGGGAGAAACCAAGTAGTTGGAATTAGTCTCTTCAGAAAACTTCAGCTCTTTCCCCGGATCATCTGAGGAGGGAGGATTCTATAAAACAAAATCATTGATTCATAATTTAGGACCAAAGGGTAATAATTTCCACAGATTTTTTTTACTCAGTGATTTATTAAGGATCTTATTACTAACATTTGATTCTGGTTTCATTTGGTCCACAAAGCTTTCTGACTCTGCATACCTGGTCGATAATTTGCCATATTCTGTCTAGAAAAATAAAAACGATTATAGTTTCATATTCTACACAATAATCATAGTGTCCTTTATTGAGGAAATAAAGAAATATGAAACCTTAGGTATCGATTCATAATAAGATGAGTGCTACCTTCAAGTGATGCTCGACTGCTGGCGGAGTCTGGCTTTCACTGTCTTTGAAGACATATGGGGGGACTGAGTCCTCCAGGACTCTGCTGATCAACTCTAACATACCCGGAGAAGACTGGACCCTGTGAATGGTGTTTGGGCTTTGGAGAACTGGTCTCACGGGTCCACTTGGAGCTTTGGGAATTTTTACTTTCGGGGCCACCTTGGAGAAATCAGGGAGAGGGTAATGAACTTGCCCCTGGCCATATTTCATCTCAGTAAAGGATCTAGTGCGAATGAGAGGTACTCTCTGATTCGGATCATCTTCTTTTGTCTTGTGTTGCTCAGTCTCATCTGCACTGGTACCTATTCTCTGTTTTACACTTCCAGAGCTGGACGTGTTTTTTTCAGTTTCAGCTAAAGAGAAATCCTCAGTTTTCTTTTCAGGTTCTTCATCCAGGCTTTCGTTCGTGGTTGCATTATGCCTCCTTTCTTGGGTGTTTTCTCTTTCCCCGCTGGAATTTAATAATCTGTTGGTTTTTGGAGTCGAGCTAAAAACAGATTCGTCCACACTTTCCAGCAGCGACACCTCTGGCAAAGTCTCTGTCTCAATAAGCCTCTCTGGTCTGAGCAGGTCTTCCTCTTTAGAAAAGTGACGCAACAACAAATGAGGGATGTCTGTAGAGAGAGGGCATGGTGGAGCCTCGTCCCATTTGGTGTTGGTTTTCTCTTCTTTCTCAGGCAGTTCAGGAGTATTTGGATTTCGATTAAACACGTTTCCTCTATCTAAGTTTCCTAAAGAACTACAAGGTTGGTTAAAGTACGGGCTTCCAAGGCCATCGTCATAAGGCAGATCCTCCTGCTCCTCATCACTGGTGTTTTGTCCAGGGTCCTCAAACGCCTGCTTGAATGATGACTCATCATTCATGGTGTTAGGTCTTTGGGCTGAAACATTCGCTGTAATGCTTTTACTTTTGTCTTTGACAGCATTTACACTATTACTACGGGCAACACTGCTCTCTGAGGAGGACTCATCCAATTCCGATAGGTCTGCACTCCCTGTAAAAACAAGACAAAAAACAAAACACTTAGAGAGTTAAAAATAACAGGATTGTGTAAAAAATAGCAAAATTTGAATATTGGATATAACTCTTCAAAGAGACAATGCCGTTATACATTAATGGCATGCCAAAAATTATTAATTATTTATACAATTATTAATTATTTATACAAATATTAATCCTGCTTAAAATCATCCCCATGTTTAGTGTGTGCTATATTGTATATATTGAAATTCACCATTATAAAAGAATGCAGGACAGAATAAAAATCATTAAGTGAAAGTAACATTACATATACAGTATACATAAAGTATACCAAGCTGTGTGAACTTCATTTGATCTCTCTGTAAATTAGCTGTTCTGAAGAAAAAGCTTTTTTTTTCTGCCAACTATTATGTGTTAAGAAAAATTAACAGCATAAATTATTCTCAACACAGCTACCCCCGGTAAACAAGGTGGTGGCAGCATAATGCTGTGGATGCAGATAGTTAGATGATGTTGGATGGAGCTAAATTTAAGCCCAGAGTTTAGATTATTTTAATTCAACCAAGAAGTTTTGCGCTGCAAAACCGACATTTCTCAAAAGATAATAAAACAATGTAAATGTCAAGATGTTGGCGCTGATGACTTTTTCACCTCCAGTTTCTGTTTCTGTTCATCTGATCCACCTGTTATGCCTCTGTTTAACCAGCCTGCTAAGCAGTCATGCGGGCCTGATTATCCGAGCCCTTGTTGAGAGTTCTACCGTATCTGCTTGTGTTTAGATCGCCGGACCCGTTTTACCTTTGGACCTCTGAGCCTGGCTGTTCCCATTCTGATCTGTTTGCCTGACCTGTTTTTGGACTCCTGCCTGTTTGCTAAACTTGGAACTTTTTCCTGTGACCGTCCTGGATTTCCCTCTGGAACCTCTTCGGACTTCTGATCTCTTCATTCTGAATCCTGAGCATGTCCTCGACCCCGGCTTTGGCTTCGTCCTCTGGATTTTCCTACCCTTCTTCCTCTGTCTGGACCTGGTCTGGACGCTTGTTCTCTGTCTTCCAGGGCTGCAGCAACTGGGAAACACTGGGCGGCGCCCACAGAATCCTGTTGGCAGTCCACTGGATGGATCCTACCTTGTTCTCTGGGCTCAGACTGAACTGTTAAACCAAGTTATTGACTCATGTTCATAATCTTCCTCTGCCAGATTTACATGGTCACTAACCTTTGTTTCCTTTCTGCAGAGGCTCCTGTGATAGATGCCCTACTTCTGTGGATCAGTTTTGAAATAAATGCCTTTTGATTAATCGCACTGTCTGTCTGCCTTCAATACTGGGTCATCCATTCTTAGTTCTGACATTAAATGAGGCAAACATGTCATAAAAAATGTATATAGTTTTATTAATTTTGGCATGCTGTAAATTATCTAAAGCTTTTCAATAGATAATGTGAAAACATATATTGGAATTGCAGGAATGCTTTAATGTCTGGTGTTATCTGTTGGTTCAGAACCGCTGTCCCCTACAGCCAATCAATGTCGAAGAGGGGTATCAGCAACGACACCCCAACAATATCCAGAGACCTAGGCTACTCAGGGCTGCTGTTGGGAATATTACTTAAAAAAGTAACTATTAGTATTAGGGATGCACGATATTGGGATTTTGGCCGATATCTGATATGCAGATATTTTAAAACTCATGTAGCCGATAACCGATATCGATACTGATGTTAAAGCTGGACAAAAATAAGTAGTCATTGAAAATAGCAGTTTTGTTATCCATTTCTGACACTTTGAAAAATAAAATACTCAAATATATTTTCATATGCTGATATCAAATAGATTTTTTAAAACACGGTATCGATCTATTTTACTATTTAAAACCTCGTGAAATTTTATCGTTCTGTTACAAACTCTCGTGATATTTTGCAAATTCTTGTGAGATTTTGTTAGTAAAATAGATTGATACAGCGTCAATATATCAACATATCAAGATATGGCAAAATTTAGTGAATTTTCGGGGGATTTCGCAGCATAACAATGACATATAGCAATATTTCATTAGTAAAAGAGATTGATATGGTGTTTTTAAATGGCAATATATCAGCATATGAAGATATTGTGATATTTTAATGTATCAATATTTTTTCCCTCGTCTTTAGAAGTTTTTAAGTCTGTAAAAAAGAAGTTTTTGAGGTAGAAGAAGAAGTAGTATTTTTATTCTTTTTTTAGACTTTAGAAACTCAGAAGCTGATCAAATATCGGGTTAAATATCGGTGGGGTGGCCAATGTCCGATATTCAATTTTAAGGCCGATACAGGCCGATACCGATAGGGGGCCGATTATATCGTGCATCCCTAATTAGTATAGTAATTCAAGATGGTTCTACAAAGAACTAACACAAGGACTCCGAAATCCCACACCACACTTTTTAAATGTGTATTTTGTAACAAAATAACATGTATGATTTTTCTTTCACTTAACAATTTTGTTCTTCTTGTCTTCTTCAAATCTCTATACAAAACATGAAAGTCACAGGCATTACTTTGTTTAACAACATGCTACTAAATTGACATAAAGGATCATAGAACAATTGGCTACAACAGGATTTTAATCATATCAGCTGCATTGAATTAATTAGCAAAGTAGAGACAAGGAAAGCTACTAATTGACTTACCGCTGAGATGAATGTTTGCTTCTGAGGCAGTTGATTCTGCCTGGGACAGATGTAAACCTAAGGAGCTCTCTAGATCACTTAGGTGGAGACTTTCATCCTCACTGAGCTCAAATACAATGCTCTGCTGAATGCACCTCTCCCACAGCACAGTGGGTTTGCCCTCTCCCTGGACGTCCTCATCTAAGTCGTCAGATTCCTCCATCGAATTTTCCCTCAGATGAAGATATATGTGACTCAGCTTCTTCTTACCTGTGTTTGGAGCAGAAAAAACGGAGAGGGCCATGTAACACCTGTTCATTCCTTAGCAACACAGGTTGTTAACTGACAACATTGGATCATAATGTCTTAAAGGTATGAATTATTCAACAGAATGCCTATAGCAAAGTGTAGCGTAACTATCCAAAGCTATTGTTTGAAATTTATGTGAAGTATTTGGTGTGTTGAAAAAAGAAATTGTGTGAAAGATCCAACGTTAAAATATATGTATGAAACTTTTTTTAACTAAAGGATTCTTGGTCCAATGGACTGGCATCCAGATTATGAAATGTCTCTAAAGATTGAGACTCAGTGAATACAGGGCCTCGCCTTGATGAAAAAAAACAAAACAAATTGACAACAGCTTACCAGCTGTCAGTTTATTGTTTCAGAGCTACACTGTATGCAACAAGAAGACCTTTTATGGTTACAGTGGATGCAGCTGGGATGATCAGTGGGTCTTTTCTTACATCATTCAATAAATCTGTATATTAGCCCACTTAAACACCACAGCCTCTTTCTTCCCTACATCCCTTTAGACCCCTGGTCAAAGGAAACAGAGTCTTTGCTGGTTCGTCTTCATACCTCAGACAGTTTGAATGTCAAACTCTGTTCCTGCTATATTTAATTGAAGACATCCTTGACCCAAAGTATTACTCACCCTTAGCTCAATATTGTAGACTAGAGTCTTTGAAATAAGAACTCTGTGTACACTGCTTTGATTGTTTCTAAATTTGATTGAAATCAGTTCAATTCAGCTTATATATATAGAGCCAATTCACAACATAAGTCATCTCAAGGCACTTTACAGAGACAGTTCAACCAATTCAGAGGAGTTTGACCCTAGTGGTTAGGGCATAGAACTCTGGGTCCCTGAGCAAGACCCTTAATCCCACACTGCTCCCTGGGCGCTGACCAATGGCAGCCCACTGCTCCCCAAGCAGATGGGTTAAATGCAGAGAGTACGTTTTTGTGCTCTGTACTTGTGAAAGTGCAATGACAATAAAGGATGGGGAAAAAAGATAATACAGTAAGATTGGTTCAAACTTTTCTAACTAAGTAAAACCAGTTGATTGCATCGACTCAGTGATTCCAAAGCAATCTCTCACACTAAGCATCCTTGTAGTGACAGTGGAGAGGAAAACTCCCTTTTAACAGGAAGAAACTTTCAGCAGAACTATACCATATATTATAGTTTTTCAAAATCCTTAATGCAGTTAAATTCTGCCACATTGTCTTTTTCTTTCTTTGTTTATTTTTAACGCTGTGGGTCCAAAGAAAAGTTATTTCTCGAGAAACACCGATTAATCAGCCAGAAATTCAAAAGGGATCCATTTCCTGATTCCCTCAGTTTGATTATTGTTTTAAAAATGAACAAAAACATACATAAATAGATTTTTTTTTTATTGATTAAATGTCCAGAATATGAGGTATTTAGTTTATGCTAGAGGGTTTGGGACACATGCTCTCTATATCTTTTTTACCGGTATCAAAGGACCTTATTAAGGGCTAATTATTTCTGTTTTATGTGTTATAGTTCTTTAAATTGAAATAAGAAACTGAAAATTTATTTGGTAGGTCTGAACTTGAATATGATTGGAAAATGGCATTGTTGAGGAAAATATTATTTAGGTGGCAGAGTTAAGAATATGTTTACCTTTAACCTTAAGAGGCTTTTCAATACATTTTCCCGTGCTCTGTATCTGAAATGCTGCTTTACTAGGTTAACAGCAATATAGCCAGACAGACAAATATATAGATAGACAGACAGACTGATGGATAGATAGATAGATAGATTTATTTGATAAATAGATTTAACAATACATGCCAATTAACTTCTTGTACTGTCATTTATCTGTCAGTGAGATAGTTTACTTTTATATAATTGAAAGCATTAAAAAGAAATTACTCAGCAAAGACAGATTTTAAATGTAGATTCTTAAACATAGGAAGCACAATTAAATTATCAACATTACATCTGTCTCAAAACAGTTATTATTTTCGAGTGTCCAAAAATATTTCCACGTTTCTGTTCTGCAGATGTTGGTGTAAACTCACTGTGGTTATGAGCTGCTCCTTCGCCACTGTGACATCACCTTAGATGGATCAACAACCTCCTGCTGCTGTCAAGAGTTGCTACAGTGTTCCCTCCCTTCCTCTTTTGTCTTATAAGTTCTGGGACGGCTAAAGTTTCTGTGGTATCATCAATAATGCAGCCCATACTGCAGCGCATGCCGTCTGGACCTGGAAGAACGCGAGCTCGGTCTGGTTGCTATGGGAAACGAAGGGGAAACCTTCTATGCTGAGTTAGTTATGGGTGTTGGAAAGAACAGAGGGTTTTGGACCGTTAATATTGTTACATCGCGTGTTTACATACATTTATTGTTTTGAAATAATCCTCCTTAATAAAAAAAGAATCGGTTTGTTCTGAAGCTGAAGTATAAGGCGTGTCAAACTGGCACTGACAGCTAAGTTAGTGCAGCACGTCATCTCTTCTCTATTCAAATCTATTGGTCCAATGGCTGCTATTCGGGGCGTGGCTTTCTTTGAATTCTGCTTTCTGATTGGTCACTTCACGAAAACATACATATAATGAATATAATCGCAGGGATTTACGTTTTTAAACCGGAGTTTAAACAAAGTTCTAGCAATGTTGTAAAATAATGTAGCGGTTAGCTGTTTCCGTTACTCCCTTTTCTTTAAAATTAAGGCATTGTATTTGAAGAGGGCCGACGTTCTGATAGTGAGCGAAGTTGAAGAAAAGAAGACAGTTCACCATTGTTCGAGCTGGATCGGTTAACGTAAGTTTAGCGGCTAACTGGCTAACGGTGCTAATGTGTGGCTATAAAGAGAGGATACACTAACAACAAAACGCTTCAACCGGCTGAAGTATTATTATTTTTTTTATGTCTTTGATAGACACACATCTGGAAAGTGAAACTCCGAGCTCTATAGACGTGGTCATTTCAGACAAATATGTTTTTATATTACTTGGAGGCACATAAGTGGCCGAGGGGTTCTGTTCATGCAAACTTTAAAAGATATTTAAAAAACCCTTTAGAAAGTTAAGAGCTATATCTGGAAAATCCCAACTCTGCTTTTAATTAATTAAAAATAAGAGCAATTATATTCCGTATCATTTTGTCATGAAATACATTTATAAAAAAAAACTACTAGGACATACTTGAATTTGATCATACTAGACCTGTTAGACTGTAGGTAAATTGTAAACCCTGGTTATTGATCTTGCATATAGTATTGGCTAAAATGTTTATCAGTCTTGGAAACATATGGTAATGTTTTATTAAACCTGTTGGCCATTATTTTGATTCTGATCTACAAATGAGGGGATTTTGGGGAAGAGAACTAAATCTGCCTGAACAGATGTGTTATAGGCAGTGGCGGTTCTAGACCAAGTTAACCAGGGGGGCATAGTGGGGCCGTTTTTTTCATGGAATAAAAAATAAAATCCCTGCTTTTTGTGGATCATGTGGTTCTGCTGGTTCCCACCTGCCAGGACCTACAGCATGCACTGGGATGGTTAGCAGCAGAGTGTGATGAATCATCTCCTCATGTCCGAGGCCATGATTCTTGATTGGAAAAAGTTGGCTTGTCTCCTTCAGGTTGGAGGAGAGTTCCTGCCTCAATTCGAGGAGTTAAAGTATCTTGGGGTCCTGCTCATGAGTGAGGGGAGAATGGAACAGGAGATCGATCGATAGACAGGTCTGTTGTGGTGAAGAGGAGCTGAGCGAAAAGGCATAGCTCTCGATTTATAGGTCGTTCTACGTTCTTACCTTAAACTATGGTCATAAAATCTGGATCAAGACTGAAAGAATGAGATCCTGAATGCAAGTGGCTGAAAGTACTGTTCTCCTCAGGGTTGCTGGGCACCCATAAAGATGGGGTGAGGAGCTTGTTCATCTAGGAGAGGGTTGGAATAGAGCCCCTTCTTTGCCACATCGAAAGGAGTCAGTTGAGTTTGCACGGACATCTTTTTCGGATGCCAACTGGACGCCTCCCTTGGGAGGTGTTCCAGGCATGTCCCATCGGGAGGAGGCCTAGAAGATGACCCAGGACACGTTGGAGGGACTATAGTCCCATTTACACTACCCCTTTGAAACCGTGTTGAGATCGGTCCGAGCACGGTAACCGAGACAACTGTTGAGTGTAAATGCCACGCACAACTGCACCGGACCCTGTCAGACACAACTGAGCTGCACTAACATGTTACTAGTTCATCAGTAGGACGCGATTCAGTTCTGGCTCAGTTCTCAGATAACAAAGAGCGCATGAGCAGACCAGGCCACCTCCTTACAGTCAGCTTCCGTAATCATGAAATTTCAGACATTCATAAAAATACTGGCTTCCCTACCATGCCACACGATTTCCAGTGATGATTCTGCTTAGCAGTGTGATTAACCTTAATGTAAACCCTGATTAGACTATTGTTTGCCATATCAACTTCCCAAACATCACAATTATAACCAGCCTTCCTGAATGTTATAAGCACTGCCATGTTGGTCTGCTTGTTTACCTCTAAAGAGCAGTAGTACCGTAGTTGTAGCCATAGTTGTAGACTCCTGATCTAAACTGTGAAAACTGGCCGTATCTTAATATGGCTTAAGATTACAGGTGATTCTTATTTTCAAGTAATTGTTAAAGTAAATTGTAAATGTGAACTAATAACTTGGTCATTTACTCACAGCAAGAATTGTCCATCTGACCAGGATCTTGCCAAAAAAAAAATTTTAAGATTCGTACACTAAGCAAGAGCATATTTTGCTGGATTATTCATTTTTTTTTTAAAGATTCTACTCAGAATAAGTTCAATAATCTGCCAATGTAGTGACAAAATTTCGCTTTGGAAAATTTCTTGAAACCACAATATATATTCTCAAAATAAGAAGTATATTAATCCTAAAACATCTTTTTTATCTAAAAAAAAGATAAATAAAGAAAAGCTTTCTGTTTATATTTAAGATGGTAAGACTTTGGTTCTAGACAGCAAGATCTGATCTAAAAAAGTAAATAATTCTTATAATAAGGATATTTCCCCTAAAGCTGAGCAGGTTAATAAGATTATCGCCTGATAGAACATTTTCACTTCCTATATGATGCCAATACTTCATCCTTATTGAATGACACTGATATTAACCCGATATATCATGAACATGAACCATACATATTTTTATTTTATTTTTTTTTTGTGTGTAGAATGGCAAAAAGTTTAATCAAGTGATATTTCTCAAATAGAGAACAATACTTAACATCAGCTGTGATAACAACTGACCAATTTCTTATTTACTAAAAAGTTAAATAAACTTTAACAAAAGTTGATAGAAGCAAAGTGTTTCAATGAGCATTCTAATATATGAGATTTTAGAAGAAGGCCAGTATATACAGATATTAATTTTCTGTCTCTTATTGGACCAATTTCCCAAATCAATATCGGATTGGGGCGGCCCTTTAAGATCATTTGCCAAATTTTTGCACTTAAAATAAGATAAATGCATATTAACCACTTAAAATAAGGTAGTACAGTAGTTGTTTTTTTAAGATAAAAATACACCTTTTTCAAGAAAAATGTACTAAATTTAAGTAGCGGATGCTTTCAGTATAGGGCCCATTGCAGGGGCCAGGGCCCGTTCTCCAGGGGTGTTTAAAACCATTCTACAAGTGGACAGATTACAAGAAACATAACTTAGAATTTGTGTGTTTGTGTTTGTTTTTAATTTTATTGCAAAAACCTGAGGAGGCAAAGGAGTAACGATGTATTGAATGAGTTACTCATGGTCTATTTTTTTCCTTCCAGGCTTCCCAGATTTCCTGTCCCTGTGTGGAAGAATTACCGGTCAGTATCCCTGAACTAACCGAGTTATTTTGGTCTCTTTGTTGTGATGCAGCCTCTGTCTGCCTCTCTGTGTAATAGTGATGTACCCATATTTAGATGTGGTTGTCAGCGGCAGTAGTAATTTCAGAGCTTTGAGGCCAAAAGAAAACAGACCGCAACTATCACAACTACCTTGTTTTTTTTAAAATGAAATCACATCTTTCTTGTGCCTTTAAAAAGACTCGGTCCTTATCTCCAATTATGCCATCATTGTTAGAGCTACTTTTTTTTTGTTTTTCTCTTTATGAGCATTTCCTAAAGCATTGTTTGTCCTGGTATAAACAGAGTAAATAAAAATGGGGAGAGAAACACAGCCAGTTGGCTCATAACAACAGAAAAGGCGGGATAACTCGATGACAGTTACTGTAAGGTGTGGAAACATGTTCAGCAGTTCTTTGATAGAAATAAACAATATTCCTAATCATTGATCAGTGTGCTCTACGAGCAGTCCAGAGCTTTTGTTAGAGTTGAAATTGTTGTTGTAGTTTTGCTCATAGTAAGTTTGATCATAGGCTAGTATTTATCGGATATAAATATAAATCTCTGAAAACCAGATAAATCTAAATAGACTCTAAACACGTCCTTTTTACCGGTATGCTGTAGGATTTATTAAAAGCACTGTTTATACTTGGCAAAATTTTAGATGCCATATCTGAATTATATTCACATAATCTCCACATTTCTGCTAACAAGGTTGACTGTAAACCTATAGCAAAAAGACTAATCTTAGTACTATATGCACAGTTGTATCCTCCTGTCAATTTCTACCTCTTTGCTTATTAAGATGGTCTTTTATGAACAAAATAGAATACTATTTTTTTTTAGTTTTGGACATAAAATGATTAAAGTATAAAACAAAGAAGCAAAGTTGTTATTAAATCTACTTTATATCTAATTTTGTTGGATAAAACCTGCGTTAGCTTTGAAATGATAGCACACATGAATGGAAGCCCCTCCCCTAGAGCTACTTGGAGATTGCAACATTTCTGCATTATAAATGCAAACTTGTTTTGGTCTTCAAAATCGGTATCCAAAGTTGAACTTTTAACAGGGTTTCCGCGGGTCATTAAAAATCATTAAATAGTTATTTTTTTAAATTAAGGCCTTAATTGACATTAAAATGAATTTAATGTGTTTATTTTGGCATTTAAAATGCTTTTTTTTTTTAAAAGAAATGTTTTATAAAAACAATTTTGTCAGACATATTATATCATGAAATATTTGCGTGGATTCGCTTCCAGTTGAAAGAAGCTTGAGTCGGAGAAAATGCTAGAGAATGGGGAAGAATGACAATTTCAACAAAATTGGTTGAAAAACGAGGAATTCTGGGAATGGCTGCAGCCTGTCGATGGGTACCTGTTGGTGAAATTAAAATTATTTCTAATAGCATTAAAAAGCATTAAATTAGAGTTATTCATATAAACCCTGTTTAATGGTTTTCTTGATAAACTCTATAATCAAAGGGACACCAACACTGCACATCACTCTGCACT